ATTTTTCCCTCTAAAACGTAGGTATATGACTTATGTAGGTGTAAGTACTTGAAGTATTATAATATTAGAACATCTATTTTTTTTTTCGTAAGAAAAATGTACAGAGCAATACCTCTAAGTGTTTACATAAAAAAAAGCCATCTCCTTCAAGGACAACCGTTATTTATTTATTTTTTTTTTTTACTCAAATATCCCTAATTAAATTTTTATAATATTATTCAATTATATTTTATATAAGAGGGTAGTGATAACCACAAACAAAATCGAAATACATTCAGTATCCACACATAAACGGAGTCTAGATTCGGCGTAGATAAATATTTATTATTTCTTTTAAAATTCAACTTTACGGCATAAACAGAGTGGTTATTAGCGGCCGATTATATTATTTTAATCACAGTTCCATATTGATTATTGAATTTATTTCTAATAATGTTTACACCTATTTATATTATTAATATTGTACACTGATTCACTTGGGTCATATTATTTCGTTAGGTGACGGAGTTCAGTTTCGTCGATTATTTATTTAACTTAATTTATTTTTAACTAATTTATTCGTTTTCTGGATAACTCGGAAGTGGGTGAGAGTACCTATCCATTCACAGTTTCCTGTAATATCTTTACGATACCATTATATTGGCAGCATTCGAGAAGTCTATGCTAGACCGTAATGGGTGTTCCGAAAGTAGGGCGTACGGGGAAACCTTCCTTGGCCACGATGTGGCCATGTATCATGCGGGTGTGGCCGCTATAAATAGGTATAGTGTCATCATTTTTATTGTTTGAATGCAAGCTTGAGTGCGAATTACACAGCAGCAGTAACTATGCGGTAGAAATAATAATGATGAAGTTAAATTTGAACAATTACTAATAATTTGGAAATATATTATCGCGGGACCTGAAGTCTGCATATGGTATGTGATATTGCCGCTGACCCATGTTAAATTGATTTTTTCAACTATAAAGGCTAAAAGGAATCATACCTATTATACAATAACACATTTGAACTCATTCTTTTATTGTAATACAAATGCAACATTATTATTCAAACACGCCTTGTTGGTTACCGGTTATGGTTATCGTTAGGCGTTTTGAATTGTATTCGATAATAACATAAATTATTGTCGTACCTGTATTATCATAATCAATACCTACGTATGACTACATATAACAATAATACTGTTTGTATCCAAAAACCTACGCTTAGTGTGTACCAATTCAGTCATTAAAACGAAATGAAAATATATTTTGATAAAATCAACAGAACCGCTAAATCATTCGACATTTTGGAGTAAACATATGTGTTTCTGCAATACACAACGTTTGATATTCGTTTAATTAAAATCTAATAGTCTCCGATTAACTTCCGATTATTGAATACATAGATTTTGTGACTGAAAAAAAAGAAAAACAAAGGGTTTTCAAGTGTTTTATTTAACAGACAACCGTAGGTACGTACCTATAACATAGGTACGATTTCCCAATAAAAAAATCTAACTTTAATTGAATATTCTAAATCAAGGGTTCTTAACCTTTCGAGGTCCATGTCCCCTTTCATATTATTGTATAATATCACACCCCCCTCAACAATATAAAAATGAAGTATCAATATTTATCCTATATAGCAGGGGTGGCAAACCTTGGCACGTTGGTCAAATTTCAATGACAAACGAAAAATTAAAATTATAAAAATTATGAAATTTATAAAATTTTGGTTATAAGAAATTCAAAGAAACAAATTATGTTTAAAAATCATAATATTACTATATAAAATTTATTATGTTATTAGATTATTACTATATTTATTATTTACCACTTTAATATTATGGTTATTAACTATTGTACCTAACTTTATTTTTATCCTTAAAAATATAATTTTCTTTGGGCATTTGAAAAATTTTCAAAACCTTGATTGGAAAAATTTGGCACTTGACCCACAAGAGGTTATCCAGTAGCCACCAATATAGGATATTATAGGCTATAATAATATGTCTATAATGTAACATTTTAATATACGTCATGATGAAAAATGTCCACGCCTCAACTGAAACCACTCCCTCTAAGTTTTTACTGTCTTATTAAGTAGGTATCTATAATTATAAACGCTGAAAATATAACTTTAAAGTTATCTAGTTTAAAAGTGTCTACATACCTATATCAATGGCTTAGAATTTCATTGCCATTAACGGTTGAGAAAATCGTCACAGCATTCATCTTCCACGTTCAACGTTTATTTATGAAAATATAATATTATAATATTTGCAAGTCTAAAATACCTTTGTGTATAATACTGCAATAACGTTTTCAGAACGGAATTCGGAGTCAAAACGATAATAAATAATGATAGTAATTATTAGTATTATATCAGTGAATCCATCCCTAACAGAAATCTCCAAATAGTGGATAGTTTTATTTTGTACTTGGAAACAATAACTACAGACTTTCTAATACCCAAACATTCTGAGCAGCGAACACCGTCACAAGTCTGGCATTTACTCGAGTTTCACCTCAATATTATTATTCTAAATTTAACGACAGTATAATACTACAATATTTTATAGTAATATAGTAAAATAATATGGTCGTGAATATAATAGAGTAATATTAAGCTTTTTATTGTATACTCGAGGGCTGAAACTCGTGTGGGAATGGCTCCTTGACGTCTCGAATTATTCCTAGGATAAGTCCCAAAGCACATGAGCGCCCATAGGTAACTTTTTAGGGGGGGTCAAAATGAAAAAAATTGTAAATGTAAGATAATAAAGATAATAAAGATTTAATGTTATTTTTCACATATAAATGTATACATGCATGTTATATTAGTTTCTGAACGGAATAATTTCCATATGAATAAATAAATAAATAAATAATAATTACCATACGAATAAATAAATAAATAAATAATAATTTCCATACGAATAAATAAATAAATAAATAATAATATTTTAATAAGTATATAAAAAAATAGAAATTAAATAATATAATTAAGTATATTATTCGGTATCAATAAATAAGAACTGCAAATTTCTTCGTTTTGTTCTAAACATCTTAATGACATCCTGAATGAAAGTATCCTTGTTTGCATGAACTCTCATCATACACAACCCATTTAAACGATATTTTCCTGTAGTCGAGGGAAGCCACGTTTTTACTCGTCTTAATGTACTGAACGATCTTTCTATTGCGCACGTTGTCGGAGGCAGTGATATAAAAATATTAAGTACTAGCTGATCCCGTGCACTTCGTCGCCCGTTAAATGGATCAACTCAATACTACCTACTCAAACTTTGTTCAATTCATTAACGTGTATGGTGTTCAAAATTTATCTTATCTTTCCCGTTGCCCTGAATAAAAATTCTGAATCGCGGCAGTACATTATCAGGTAGGCAATCTACCTGCGGTAGATCGCGGACCCCGTGCTGTTTGTACGGAAGTGTATGATTTAACTCTAAAGTATCAAAGTTATACCAAGTTTATTTTGATGTAATACTGTGGATTAATATAATAAATTTGGTTGCTCGTAAAAAATCGCAACTCTTAAAAAAATTATGATTGTTGAACTCCTTTTGGGTGTAATTTTCTGCGGTAAGTGCAACTCTGCCACCCTGGTAAGCATTGTTCAATAATTCGATTTGATGCAAGCTTGTACCTGATCTGCCCGAATAACCAATGGCAACCAATAAATAAATGCTAATTTCTAATGTAGACTGTAACCAATGGCAACTATTAATAAATAAAAATAATATTTCCAATTTCTATCGTGAATCTCAATGTCCCAGTTTCAGCACCTATTTAAAATGCGAATTTTGGCAAATCCTTTCTTAGCGCACGTCTATATTATAATAGCTGTCTGTATGCCAAATTTCAGCCAGATCCGTCCAATGGTTTGAGCTGTGCGTTGATAGCAGTCAATCAGCTTACTGTTTTTTATATACAGATATGGTTGCCATGGTAATATGGTGACACACACACACACACTGACATACATTCATTTTTATATATATAGATTGATATGAAATCTTGGTAACCTTAGTAACCATGGCAACCTTGGTAACCATGGTAACATGGACACACAGACACACAGACATACATTCATTTTTATATATATAGATTTGAAAAATTGCAGGATAATATTCGCAATGAGCCAATAAATCAACAAACGAAATTTCATCACACTGGAAGTCAATCAAATTTTTATCAATCCAATACTGATTCCAAATATTAGATTCCTCTATCATATTTTCAATTTCATAATGATCACTAATCAGCTTAATTTTTTTCTTAGAAATCATTAATGGTGTACTTTTTAATATTTGTACTATGCAGTAGACTTATTGAGAATGCTTTTTTATTTGTACTTGAAAATCGTCGTGAAAGAAATTATATTAGTGAATCTAAGTACGGAATAAAAGTAGAAAGTCTGTAATAGTGTTTAGCAGAATCGATTTCGTAATTTGATATATTTTTTTGTTTGGATGTAATACGTGGAATTTTAATTTCTGCGCCAGTTTTTTCTGCCATAAATACGGAGTTATTAAAAATATCATTAAAAACGATATCTGATTGTTCTCTATTATTATTAAATATAGTTAATAAATCTTGAATATTATTTTGGTCCGAGTATAAATCAATAGATTTTGCCTGCAGTTTATTTGTAACTGGTTCTAATTGAGCTGAGTATTTGGATATAATATTTAAAGATATAACAAATTGTGATGTTGATGTCGCACATGATAGTTAGTGTACTTTTGTACGAGTAGAGGTGTTAACTTTAAAATCTGAGTCATTATTATGAGATACTTTTTCTAAAACTGACGTAATATTAAAAAAGTTTGCAGCAAAAATGCGAATAGATTTAGACCAACGAGCATCACAGTATATTTGTAAAAAATTTTCGACAAAGTCCACCTTCACGAAAAAAATGAATAACCTCTTTAATTACTGAACACCCATCAAAACCCAAGCCAACCAGTTTATTCATATCCAAACCGTATTTTTCAACAGAAGTCAAAATATAAGCTACTTATAGTAGCTATACCAACTGCATCTAATGTTTGTAGTGCAAATTCTATTAATTTTTCTCTTATAGTTTTTGAACTATCAACATAACGAACACAAATCGAAAGTTGTTCAATGCCAGCAATATTGGAAGTTTCGTCGGCTAACAGTGAAAAACTTAAGCTACTATTTAGTTCTCCAACAACTTTTTTCCAGGAGGGGGGAAGTGCCTTGTCTTGCCCCATCCCCCCCAATGGGCGCAAATGCCCAGGCATACAGCTTAGCATGTATACAGATGCTCACGAGAAAAACAAGTGATATAATAATATAATAGTGTATTGTAAGCGACGATTATACTTAAATTGCACACTATTACGTGGTAGCGTTAAGTAGATGTTTCACTGTCCGATATAAGCCACCTACCCATGCTGATTCTTTTTTGTAATTTTTTTCCACTTTAATCTGTAAACAAGACACATGTTGAATATTGAATGTTGATATTAATATATTATATTATATTATATTATATTATATTATATTATATTATATTATGTACTAGCTGGTCCTTCGCACTCCGTGGCCCGAAGAAAATGACAACCCTTAAAAAAATTGTGATTGTTCGACTCCTTTTGGGTGTAACTTACTGCAGTAAGTGCAACTCGGCCAGGGTAGTAGCCAGGCGATGTCCTAAAATTCGATTTGTTGCATGCTTGTATCTGATTAACCAATGGCAACCAATAATAAATAAATACTATTTCTATTAATTATTTCTTCTATAAACAATAGGAACCATTTATAAACAAACATTTCCACTATAAATCTCAAAATCCCTGTTTGAACACTTCCCCAGGCTTCTATTAATTTGTTGTAGCGTGATGTATACAGCCTATAGCCATCCTCAATGAATGTACTACCCAACAAAAAAATTATTTTTCAATTCGAACCAGTAGTTCCTGAGATTAGCGCGTTCAAACAAACAAACAAACAACCTCTACAGCTTTATTTATTACTTTATTAGTATAGATAAGTAACATGTTTGGACGTAGCCAATGGGATCTTTAATTATAAATACTCGAGAACCAAGTTAGGTATATATTATTTAAAGCTAGGGGTTTGTACATGGGTTTTATATAAATTTCAATAATATAGGCTCATTTTCATCCCGTCTCATCACCTACTAAATACTCGCAAACAATAAAATTTACAAAGTATGTCAGGCAAGTTTTAATATTTATATTATAATATATCGAATGTCTGTTTCACAATCTTGTGCCAGCAGTCTCGTTTTGTGTTGAATTTAAGTTCGGAGAACTGACTATTCATATATTATAAGCATGGTGGCTAATATTTATGTACCTGCATTGTGTGTTTATAGAGTTTGTGAGATTTCGGCCTATTTAAGGATTACTATCCACCCAACACAGAAGGGGAGCCTTATATTGTGTTGACACATGATAGGCCACACCACTTAATGCCAAGAAAGGTAAGTCGTTGGAACATATAGGCTCTGTACAATTTAGTTATCAAATAATATTTTAAGTTAAAATAAGGTGAAACCTTTTATTGAATTTAGAAATAAAAAGAGAGATTTTTCAGGCAGTTATAAGTTTGTGTATTTTACACAAACTGTTTTGGAGAAGATGAGTTGTAGACGGTTTCGAACCTGATCTAGACAATCATGTCGGTGAGGGACGATGTGGTAACATGAACACGGCAACATAAAAAAAATTATGTTCATGAGGTTGTGGAGAGTGTCGAAGACGAAAGTGGGACGTTGCAAAGCAGACTTTAGCGTAAGTGCAATTATTTAATTTAGGAAAACAGGTTGCCCTGCAGTATGCACCAGCGGCAACGACAGAAACGTCTATGGTGCAGAACGGCCTGCAGCCGTCACGGCACTGGCCACTGAGAACACTATTGGCTGAGACACTGTTGCAGAAGGGGGTCGGGGAGGTTCTGATTACATAATTCTGTTGATTATTATATTATAATTGTTTTCGTTGTTAACGTAATATTTGTAATAAAGAAATAATAACTTATGATTTTAGGAGGTGTTTTGGGGGATTTAATATTTTATAAGGGGGTCAAAACTCCATGACGTTTCAAGTTTATGTATTATAAGAGTACATTATACATCTTATCATTATATCAACTTTAACATATACAAAGCCACCCATTCTAGTATTTACAGTCATTATTACTATTGTTATTGTATTTCAAAAAGTTTTGACTTTTATCAAATTTACATGTCGTTGCAGAAAAATATTTTTGGAGAAAAAAATTATATTTTTACAATTTATTTTAAATATTTCAATGATGGCATACATATTTTATGTAAGATTCAAAAGCAGCTATCTTATTGTTTATCATTTCTCCGAAAAAATTGACTTTTTAACTTGTAGTTAATAATAGTTTAAAGTATTTAAAGTTCAGATAAACTACCTCTGCTACTCAGAGCACAGTAGTGAACCAATATGATTTACCGGGGTGTAACTACTTCACTCATTTAACTTTTAATATTACGAAGTAATAACCATATGTAATTAATAATTAAAAAAATACAAAAATTCTAATAATAAGAATTTGTAAAAATATAATCTTATGACATATTTACCTATTTGTATATTATATTATAAAAACAAAAATTCTTAAAAAAGTCAAATTTATTTGAAATAATAAGTATAAATAAATACAAATACATAACATAATTATATATTGTTTCATGTATAAATACATGAATTAATCACTTTGTGCATACTAATATTATTTTATTCACGTTTATGGTATATGACATATTAATATATTATATGTAGTCATAAATATAAACTCTATAATATATACCTACATATAACCTACATAAAATGATAGCTATCACATCAATATTAGCTTCTGACTGATATGATAAAATATTTAGTAGCAACAAATTGCAAGGCTTATAATATTATGGCCAATACAAATTTGGATTGATGGATTCCGAAAAATATTCTGTTTCGGTAAATTATATATGTAATTAAAAATGTATTTTTTTCCAATGACGTAAAAATAATATTTTCAAAAATGTAAAACTTTTATTGATTGTGGGCACTTAAACGGACCACCTTCAGTGATACCGCGTATCGTATTATTGTAAGTATACTGCAGTTTTGACATTTTAACACTGCAGTCAAGTGGACTAGAAACAATTATTAAAATATTATATTCTCTCAATTAACGAATACCTACACAAAAAATGCAAAAACTATAACCTATAACCAGCTAAGAAAGGACATAATAAATTAAATAAGGCTAATGATCGTTAAATGAACCGACCTCTAATCAATTTGTTTTCGATCACCTGCAGTGGTTTACCTGTATCCACTATTGTTGGTTATTTGTCAACGTTATAATTTATACGTTTGTAAGAGCAACGTTTTTCGTCAGAGTTTGTGAGTATCATCGGCACACATAGGTATAGTAATCTTATTGCGGTCGAAACGAATAACGGTACCCTCGGTCGCGGTTTGCCGTGCAGACGACGGAAGTTTTGGTCTTACCCGAACGGATATCATGGTCGTAAATAAATTTGAAAAAAATAACTCGATTTGGGCGGGGAAACGCACTCGGAAATGTGGTGTCCACCCCTCGGCACACTGCCCGGGGCTAGCCGTCCCTAAAACCACTCTGAAAATCGCCATCCGCACTTGAATTTATTTTTGCGCCAGTCGCGTCGCATAATATTCGTCCGTATCGGAAACGCGATAATTCGCGTGGACGCGCGAGAGAGATCAAAGACAGCAACAGCCAGGGCGGCGTATATATAATATAATATAATACGCGATGGAACGGCGCCAGCCCGACGTAACAAATGTGTGCGGGCGCGAGACGGGAAAAACAACCACCACCCCCCTCCCCACCACTGCCGATGACTGTAAGTTTTATATTTTTCCTCCTTTTTCGCGTCCCATCCGTGTACTTCGTATGCATGTAAGTGTGTGCATATATATATATCCGAGTGAATGTATATTATATATATATATATATATATATATATATATATATAATATACATTCACTCGGAGAGAGAGAGAGAGAGAAAAAAATATAAAACTTATATACCCGTAAATATATATATATATATAACTGGGCGAGACGTCGCGTAGTTTAGTCGTCGGCGACGGAGAAATAAGAAAGCCGATACATATGTATATATGTATTTGTGTATATGTGAGTATGCGCTCGTGTGTGTGTGGTGTGTTGTGTGTGTGTGTACTTTTAAAAGCCACGCACAACTGGCGTTTTTCTTTTATTCAAATAAACAACTCGCCATTATATATACAATCCGAATACACGAGAAGAGGAGAGGAGAGAATAATATATGTGTGTGTGTGTGCGTTTATATTCTTTCACTTCTTTATATATTTATATAAATGTGTGTGTGTGCACTCCATACAGTAGAACTATATACTCGGTATGTACGGGTTTCATCCCCTTCCTCCCCACCCCCTGCTATTTACATGCCCGCCTAGTTCGATTTCTCCACCCCCTCGAAAACTTTGAACTTTTTTCTTCTTCTTTCAGTTTTGTTTATTCAGTTTGCGCCGGTCTGGGTGCGTGACAATACACAATGGCGTGAAAATTAAAACTACGATCGCTCTCCGAAAACACTTATATCGTGCGATATAATATAAATGCGCGTCCATCATAATACATAATACATAAACTATAGCAGACTGGCTTCCTCGGAGACGCTCAGACAGATGTCTGGAGCGCAGTTTTGGTATAATATATTATATTATTATTCAAACGTGTACGACGACAATACAATAATATATATTATGCTGAGGAGACTGTTGGCGTTAATGGACGTCTAGTATCGCGATCTATAACAGACCGGAAATGAATGTCGACCGTCACTATACCGCGTTGACGAGGTTTTCGTAATATAATAATCATAATATTATTGACTGTCCGGCGGCTTTAGTAGCACGATTATATTTTACGTGAGCATTATGCGTAGGTATAATATTATAATATGGGAACGACTGTTAGTTGTGGTACACACCGAAAGAAAATGATCGTCGAGACGATAAACTATAATTATATATTTCATATTATTAATATTAATATAATATTATTGTACGAAATACTAATGCACGAGACCCTACTCAAACCCATATTATATACCTATACAGGACCCAGCTCTGGAGCTCAGCCAAACCTCCCGACCATAAGCCGTATCCAAACCTTCTGATTAAAATATATCTCCATCAAATCATTAAATCCCCATATTATGATATGTATCCAAATAC